GAACGGGTCATTGGGGAGAAAAAGGGACATCTGTAATACTTTAAACAAAAATAAAAATTAAAATAAAACCATGGAATTTTACACTTTAAATGGGTAAATTCAAGGTATGTGAATTATACTTCAACAAAACTGTTTAAAATGTATGTATATACATTTTGAATTATAAAGAATTCATACAACTCAATAAAAAGACTGCAAATTAAAAAAAAAAAAAAGTGTATGGCAGCTAGTCCTCCGCCTCCTAACCTGACTGACTCGGTCCTGGGCCTGGTGTAGGTTTGCAGAATTTCTGTAGGCCCTAGCTATGAAGAAGAAAGAAGAGCCCGGCCGGGCGTGGCTCAGCAGTTGAGCGTTGACCCAGGATCCAGGAGATTGCGGTTCAATTCCTGGTCAGGGCACATGCCCAGGTTGCACGCTTGATCCCATCGGGGGCGAGCAGGAGGCAGCTGATCAATGACTCCCTCATCATTGATGTTTCTATATCTCTCCCTCTCCTCTCCTTTCCTCTCTCTGAAATCAATAAAGATATATTATTAAAAAAAAGATTAAATGCCTGGAGGTCCAGCTAATTCAATAAAACAAACAATGTAGGCTTAACATCACATCTCAAACTTCAAGTGTGTAAGACAGAACTCTTGTAATCAATGTTCACAGCAACCTTATTCATAATAGCCAAAAAGTGGACAAGTCTAGATGCCCATCAACTGATGGATGGTAAACGCAATGTGACATATCTATACAGTGGAATATTATTTGGCAATAAAAAATAAAATACTGATTCATGCTTTAACATGGGTGAACCTTAAAAACATTATGCCAAGTGATGTTTCTGGTTAGTCAAAAAAGACCACATTGTGTGATCCCTTTTGTGATTCCACATGTAATTTCATTTCATAAAATAAATGGCCAGAACAGGCAAATCTATAGAGACAGAAAGTAGATCGGTGGTTGCCTAGGGTTGGGGCAACATGGTGGGGATTGGGGGTAACTGCTAATGTGCAGTTTCTTTTTAAGGGTAATTAAATACTCTGAAGTTGACTGTAGTGGTAGTTGAAAAACTCTGAGTACATTAAAGCTATTGAGTGGTACATCTGAATGGGAAATTATATGGTATGTAAACTGCATCTCCATTAAGCTTTTGAGTTGTCCCAGCACACAAACCAAATACATGAGCTGAAGCCTTTTGGATTACTTTAGCCTTCTGGCCTTTGAGTCAACCCGTCATTTGAGTCCCAGGTAGGCCTGACCCTGCCATATCCTATCCCAATATCTGACCACAGAATCTGTGGTTGTTTTATACCACTCCATTTCGAGGTGGTTTGTAAAGACCACTCTTCTGGTTTTCTTCCTACCTCAGTCTTCTCGGTCTACTGGTTCCTCTGCAACCCTCCTGAATAGCTGGTCTCCCCTCAGTATGTGGGCCACTTCTGTTCTTGTGCTCACTCCTTTGGCGATCTCACATAGACTTATGGCTTTAAATACCACAATGATGACCCCCAAATTTATAACTTCAGCCAGATCTCTCCCCTGAACTTCAGATTACTATATCCACCTTCTTGACATCCCTACTTGGATTTTTGGAAAGTAGCAACTAATCTATATAAACCAAATATTTTATCTAATACGTTCAAATGCAATGCTTTTATTGACATTCTTGCAAAAGGTCACTATTCACTGTTATTGGAAAATTCTCACATAAGCCTCTAAGTGTCAGTTTACTTGTTTTTACTTGATTACCTAACAAATTTCTCATATTTTTATCACCAAGGGCAGAAAAAACAGTTAGTTCAACTGCAGCAAGAGGAGCTAAGGGCAAATCATCACTAAGAGTTATGAAAAATGATGGGTGAGTAGATAAACAAATTGTGGTATATACACAAAATGGAATATTATTCAGCCTTAAAAAGGAATGAAATTCTGACACACACACTGCAGCATAAACCTTGAAAACATTATAGTCAGTGAAATAAGCCAGACAGAAAAAGACAAATACTGCATGATTCCATGTAAATGAGGACCTAGAATAGTCAAGTTCATACAGAAAGTATACTTGTGGTTACCAGGGGCTGAAGGGAGGGGTAATGGGGAGTTATTATTTGATGAGTACAGAGTGTCAGTTTGGGTTGATGAAAAAATTCTGAAGATGGATACTGGTGATGGTTGTACAATGTGAATGTAATTAATGCTATTGAATTGTACACTTAAGAATGGTTAAAACAGTAAATTTTCTGTTATATTTTACTACAATGAAAAAGTTATGGCCTGGCTGGTATGGCTCAGTGGTTGAGAGTTAACCCATGCACCAAGAGATCACCAGTTCGATTCCCAGTCAGGGCACATGCCCAGGTTTCAGGCTCAATCCCCAGTAGGGGGCATGCAGGAGGCAACCCACCGTTTCTCCCCTGGATGTTTCTCCCTCTCTCTCCCTCTCCCTTCTCTCTCTCTAGAAATCAATAAAACCATATTTTTTAAAAACCTGCCAAATTCTTAAAAAAAAAAAGTTATGAAAAATGGAATAGGACTGTAGGTGGAATCAGAGAAATCAACTCTGTGTCTAGGACAGTTTAGGTGCATTCAGATCTGAAAAGGGAAGCAGGATGGTTAGGATGGAAGAAATGATCTCTGAATATTCCCCAACTGACACCACAAATGAGTTTCTCAGAGGAATGGTTATAATGGTAGCTAACCACTGGCTTCTGACCACCCTGCTACCGGTGGCAGTCAGAACAGGGCCTTAGGAATTTCTGAGGTAGGGATGTGCTTCCAATAAGCTGCCAATGCTCCTTTCAGGCAAATACTTTGAGGCCAGGAGCTTTCCTGAGTCTTTGTAGCCCAGACTCCTCAAAGGTATCTGGGACCTAGGTGGTATTTATTATGTAGCTGTTGAGTGCAGATAAAAGTTTGATTTGGTTTATAGAATGAAGGATAATGTCTTTTTGAGAGTGCTATATTTGATTAGAATGAAATGATATTATATAAAAACACTGATACAAAGATAAAGCATTATTCTTAATAAAGCAGGACAAAAAAAGCTTAAAAATCTCCCTGAATGTCACAGCTTATTTGCTATGATCTAATTACTTGGTGAGTTGAAGGCAATTTCCGCTACTTTACCTTTTTCTTAATCATCTTAGAAAGAGTGGGGGATGGGGCCTTTTTGCCTATCAGGTTCCCGAACTCTTCCAAGGGTATAATAAGGAATAAACAAAGTAATTTACCATTCGGAAGGATATGGCGTTTAGTTGGCACAAAAACACACTAGAAAAAAATAGTTGCTTGTTTCTGTTAGTGATTTTTCTGGCTATAAACCCCCCTCCAGTTTTGGATGGATATGCTGTGCAGGAGGAAACCAACGGTAAGGCACTGAGTGTCTCACAGATCTTCCCTGGTAGGTCACAGTCTGTTAATCTAATCATATTTGACAGTAAATTTAATTATCCGAGAAATTTTATTATTCTTGTTTTAGATATCTGCTTCCTGTAAATGAGTATCATTTCAATCTATGACACACTGAGAACAGTCAAGAATTGTATCTTGCACTTATAATTTAAGAAGTTATACTTAAAAATTAAGACTTGTGTTTATGTGACTATGATTATAAGGAAAATCAGAAACCAAACAGATGGATATTTATAAAAACCAATATTTCAGGAAAGGACTTAAGGTTAGAAACCCTTTTCAACTCCTCTTGTAAACTGGGGAACACACAATTACTTCAAGAATTCAGCCTGGCCGGCGTGGCTCCGACCTATGATCCAGGAGATGGAAGTCGGATTCCCAGTCAGGGCACATGCCCGAGTTGCGGGCTCATCCCCAGTCGGGGGCGTGCAGGAGGCAGCCGATCAATGACTGTCTCTTATACNGGGGGGGGTCTTGAGGGGCGTGCAGGAGGCAGCCGATCAATGACTGTCTCATCACTCATGTTTCTCTCTCTCCCTTCCTCTCTCTGAAATCAATAAAGACATATTTATTTGTTTTAAAAAGAAGAATTCTATTTTTTCACAATTGCATTCTAGATTATGGCAAAGGAAAAACATTCAAAAATCTTAAGACTTTTACTTCCTCAAATTTTACATGGATTGCTTTTCAGAATTTTCCTAACTGATATTATATGAAACATTCTAGCTGATAAAAGGCCAAACATCTACATCTTCTCAAGAGCTGAATGCATTTTTATGTATTAACACAGATGGCATTCCAGTATTTACCACATGGGACAGGAAGGAATAATTAGATTTTATCATCCAGGTACCGTACAAATATGAAGTTAAAACAGAATTTTCATTGATGGTCAACCTCTAGATTCCATGTTATGATTAATTCCAAGAACACAAATGTCTGCATCTTCTGCGGAAATTGTACTTTTCAGTTGTAACAACATCCTCAAAGGGTTTTCAGCTTGTCTTTATCTTGCTCCTTTTGACTGCGAAGTGCAAAGGACTCCTGAACGAACTGCCTGCACATGGGGCAGCGCTGGAAATACCTCACGCAGCCGTCGCACAGGCACGTGTGCCTGCAGGGCAGCAGCACCCAGTTCACGGCCCCGTTCTGGCAGACAACACAGTCCTTGCTGTTCTGCTCCGGGGGCTCCACTTCACTCTCAGAGAGCCCGGCCTTTTCCAACAAGCTTCGGTCTGTGCTCACCTCTTCTGGAGAAGAGTTGCTGGAAGGAGTGGAATTACTATTTGCAGACATGAAAAGTTGCTGAAAAATCAAAGGAACAAGTTTAAAGATAATTACAAATGACAATTACTCTTTTTTTATTTATTTAAATATATCTTTATTGATTTCAGAGAGAGAAAAGGAGAGGGAGAGAGAGAGAGATGAAAACATCAATGATGAGAGAGTCATTGATCGGCTCCCCCCTGCATGACCCTACTGGAGATCGAGTCTGAAACCCGGCAAGTGCCCTGACCAGGAATCGAACCTCGATCTCCTCGATTCTAAGTCCATGATCAACTGCTGAGCCACACCCACTGGGCACAAATCACAATTACTCTTTCAACCTGAGGGTCGTAAGAACTGCTCCAAATTTATGAGCTAGCAAATCCAATAGCAAATAACAGCTAACTTCTATCCTAACTAACTGAAAACTATTATCCCTTTATAAATGGTCATTCTTTGAAACTGCGAGCAAAAGAGACAAAGATAAGACTACAGGGTACAACTTACCTTAAGATCATGAAATTGACCTTGAGTCGGGAGTAAATATTGACATAATATTCTACAGGATAGTTTATAAGTTTTATCAGGAATATGAATTACTGACACCATGGAAATCTAAAATAAAAATTGAACACTGGTCAGTACTTAACCTCTTTATATTATTTTACAGATATGTGAAAACGTGTCTCAAATAAAAATAAGAAGTTGATAAATTAGAAAACTTACAATAATTTATTCAAATCAGCCACTATAGAGGAACCAGTTACTGACATATTTTTTGCCAGTTATTTTAATTATACTCGTTTACAAATTTAATGTGATCCCAACAAAATAGCTGAGTTGACTCTAAAATTCTCATATAGCAAAATAACACATAAGAATAGCTAGGAAAATACTGAAAAGAAAGCTATGGGGAGGGAGGCTAAACCCAGTCAGATATTAAAACATACTACCAAAATTAAAACAGTGCGGTACTAGCACATGAATAGACAGATGTCTGAAACAGAGTAAACAGTCTAGAAACAGATCCAATTATATATACAAATATACTAAAGGTAGCATCTCAAATCACTGGGCAGAGAGACTATCAGGACAACTGAATAGCTACTCAGAAAAACAAAATATTAGATGTAGTCCTCATACCATATACAAGAATAAACTCCAAAAGCATAAGGTGTAGAAAATAAAACTATACAAATACTAGAAGAAAACATGTACGTTCTTTTTTAGTCTCAGTGTAGAGAAAGATTTTCTAACTGTAAATCAATCCCAAAGGCAGATAAATTTGACAAATTTGACTATATAAAAATTAAAAACTTGCATGACAAAAAGCACCATAAGCAAAGTTAAAAGACATATGGCAACTGGAATAAAATATTCACAATGCATATCACAGACTAAGGGTTAAAACCCTAATTTATGAACAGCTTTTAAAAACTGAAGTAACCAAATATCCACAGAAAAATGGGCGAAAGACATGAACAGATAATTCACAAAAGAGACAAACATGGTCCTTAGCCATTTTAAAAGTGTTCAATTTTACTCACAACATGATAAATGCAAATCAAAAATTCACTGATAGACCATTTCTCACTCATCAGATTAACAAAAATTCAAAAGTTTGTCAATACACTCTATGGAGTGATAATCCCTCTCCTATATTGCTGGTGGAAATGTTAAAAAAAAAAAAAAAAAGGTTCAGCCCTTGCTGGTGTGGCACAATTGGCTGGGCATCTTCCCATGCACCAAAAAGTTGCCAGTTTGATTCCCGGTCAGGGCACACGCCTGTGCTGCGGGCTCAGTCCAGGCAGGGGGTGTGCAGGAGAGAGGCAGCTGATCAATGTGTGCACTCACATCAATGTTTCTCTCTTTCTCTCCCTCTCCCTTCCTCTTCTCTAAAATCAATAATAATAAATAAATAAAAAGCTCAACTCCAAAGGCACAACCCTAATAGAGGGGAATTTGGCAATATGTAACAAATGACGTGCATTTACCCTTCAACCATACAACCCGAACTACATTAAAATCCATACACATAGATTATACAGTGCAAGGTTATTTGCTAGTGCAGAATACTGGAAACTACCTGAATGTCCAACCACAGGAGATTAAATAAATGGTACCTGTACACCCTACATACAATGGAGTGCTACGCAGCTGTAAAACAAAACAAAACAAAACAAAGCAAAACCAGTGTGAGAAAATCTCTATGAACCGGTCTAGCCTGATTTCCAGAAGACACTGTAAAGTGAAAAAAGCAATTACATATATAGTATACATAGTGTGCTGCCTTCAATGTAAGAAAGAAAGGAAAATAAGAAATATAAACACACATATATCATCATTACAATAAGAAACATAGGAAGAATAAACCAGAAAACAATGAACTTGGTTATTTACAGGATTGGGGTGTGTGAGAATGGGGGAGGGTATGCAGAAAACAGTAAAACTTGAATATACCACTTAATATATTGTTTTATGATTTGGGGGAGAACTAATCCAAGTAATTGATGAACACAGTGTTTGACTATAAACCTGCAGTCTTTGGCAGGAAGTACGAAGACAATGGTGTGAGCACAAAAATAATTAAATTCATTAATTAAACCACTGGGAAATAGATAAACAAAAAATAAATGGTAGGTTTCTTGCTTATAGAATACTGAGGACTGACAGGATGGTGGAAGTTGAAAGATAATCATTTTGCAAGCATCATGGTAAAGATAAGATCTGGTAAGAATCACGCATGGAGCCCTGGCCGGTTTGGCTCAGTGGTTAAGCGTCAGCCTGTAGACTGCAGGGTCTCGGGTTCGAGTCCAGTCAAGGGCACATACCTCGGTTGCAGGCTCGATCCACCGCCCCAGTCGGGGCCCGTGTGAAGGCAACCAGTCGATGTGTCTCCCTCACATCAATGTTTCTCTCTCTCTCTTTCTCTCCTTTCCACTCTCTCTGAAAAGCAATGAAGAAAATGTTTTAAATCCTCGGGTGAGGATTAAAAAAGAAAAGACTCAGTCACGGATATTAAATCCAGGGGGAAATGTTGATAAAGGGCAGGATATTGGCCTGGTCTTAAAGTGCCTCCCTATAGACTGCTTATGATCTGTAAAGGAAGGAAAAAAGGGAACAGTGGAGAAAACAGGTAACTACTTGACTGACAGATCAGAACTAACATCACCAATGACAGAAAAAAACCTGAAGGTGATGCCCTGAAAACATGTATTATCACCTGTGCAAGGATACTGGCTGAAAACGCATAATTCCAAAGTAATCATGAAGAAACATCAGAAAAACAAAATAAGAATTGTTCTATTTTTTTACAAAAAGAGGGTGTGTGTATGGCTGTATTCTTCAAAAAATGTTAATATCATAAAAGACAAAAAGAAAAGCTACGAAAATATTCCAGATGAAAGGAGGCTAATGATACATGACAAACACAATATCTAACTCTAGACTAGAATCTGTACTGGAGGGGAAACATGCTATAAAGAATACTATTAGACAAACTAACAAATTGGAATACAGGTAATAGATTGGACAAAACATTATATTAATGTTGACTTATAAAGTTGAGAACTACATTGTCATTATATAAGAAAACATCCCTATTTTTAGGAAATACATACTGAAATATTTAGGAGTAAAAATCATCATACAACTTACTCTCAAATCATTCACTTAAAAAAATATATCTAAAAATAAAAATATATATCTATACACACATACATATCTACATATAAGGTAAATAATGCAAATGTACAGTGTTAACAATTAACAACAGGAGATCTGGGTAAAGGATATATGGGTGCTCTTTGACTTTTTTATTTTTGCAAGTTTTTGAAATTATGGCCAAATAAAAAGTTTGAAATAAATACCCTACTACGGTTATAAATATACAATGTTCTTCACAGCTTTATCAGGATTTGTTAATTTGGCAATGGCTTCAAAGGCTTTTAATACTAAATCAATTTTGTATTAACAATTGGCAGAAGATAAAAATGTTATCACCTCATACTAACATTCTTGTCATTTGATTTAATATTAAAAGGCTCTGAAGCTACTATAATGCTAGTTATAAATATATATGTAGTTGTAGATATACATTTCATATGGAAAAGATGTTAATAAAATACTAAATGAAAGTAGGTCACCAAACAGTGTATACAAGTTGATCCCATTTTTGCTTAAAAATTACATATATAAAGGTCTGGATAGATACAAGTATTCACAGTAGTTATCTTTGGATGATAGAATAAAAGTGATTATACTTTTTTTTCATTTGGCTTATCAAGATTTCCTAATATTACTTTCTGCCATAAGCATGTACTGTTTGAGTAATACAGAAAACAAACTGATGCAATTATGTAAAAATGAAAAAAATTTAAAATCAAAATCTTGCAGTAACAATCCTTGTTTTCCTTTATCTACTTATAATAAACTAGTTCCTAACTGTACTATATAAGTGTAATTTTTTACTGTTACAATAGGAATGGGAGAGTTTAATTTTTTTTTTTTAGATTTAGAGTCTCTGACTCCCAGATAAATTACTGAAAAAGCACTTAAGAAAAAGAATTATGAAATGCTCAGCTTGTTTTTAAAATTAAGAAGAGAACATTATTATAAAATATACTAACAATTATGCTTTAGTTCTAATGTTAGGCCCAATCTGAGAGATAAGAGATGGAGAAATAAGATTTAACAGGAAAAAAGGGAAGAGCCTGCTGATAAAAGACAGAGAAGAGCCAAAGCAGGGAGACATAGCCAAAGAAACGCAGGGAGACATAGCCAAAGAAAATGACTGTTAATGCTTGAGGGCCAGGGATCAGGCTCCTCTGTGGAAATAAGCAGCCCACAACTACAGCAGGGCCCTGGAGTCTTCACTCCAGTTGGATCCGGGACCCAATAAGCAAATCTTTCCCTTTTTATATTGCCATAGAATTGTACACTGAAAAGTGGTTAAAAAGGTACATTTTATGTTATATATGTTTTAGCATGCATACAACAAATCCTTCTCTGTTTAGATGGAGGAAGGAAAATTAGAAAATATAGACCATCAGAGCCTCAAGTAGATAGAAAGCACCACCCCAGTGAGAGGAAGAGGAACCAAAAGGGAAAGCTGGGAGGGAGGTGACCGAAAGGTGACCCTTTTGGTCAGAACTAAAAGAAGGAGGGGAGCTTAGAAGAGACGGGAAACACAGTGGGGAGAGGAGGGTTACCTTGCCCAGGCAGGCGGGGTATGAAACACCAACCTAACGGGCCTTAGTTCTCTTCAGCTGAAGAGGGGTCGGGGAGAAACCCAAGGTCTTGCATACACTTCCTCATGCACATGCAACTAAGGAGCTCACCGTCGAGCTCTAGGAGACTCCCTGTGTTGCTTGGTATGACTTTTTTTTCACATTGATTAAATCTATTGAGTACCTACTGTGTTTAAGGCACTGTGCTAGATTCTGAAAATAACTGCTGTTGGTATGTCTTTTATTTGGGAAAAAAACTAGCTGACTTCAGCTCAATGGAACTTCAATTTGATAAGATTAAACACCTCAAAACCTAGATTGGCTTAACTGCATATGAACAGGGTCTATATTTCCCAATATGGGTCTACACCTTCCAGCACCTTCCAAAGCTCAATGCACACTTGTTTAGGGGAGATATTTCTGTTAAGAAAATGGGAGGGGTTTACTGGCACAGAACTACATGGGTTCAGGGTCAAGCCCATCTTTTATTTCCTAAATGACTGGGATTTTTCTCTGGACTCTGTTTCAGTCCTTGTAAGAAGGATATTTGCGTAACACACAAGGTTGCTGGAAGGAATAAGTAAGTTAATGTCAGTGAATGCACTCTGGGCAGTACAAAGTGTCATAAAGATGTTACCGTATCTTTACTAATGAACGTATCTATATCATGCACTTCAGAAAAGTAGTAAATTGTGTATATGGACATTCTTACCATGATACAATTTCACCAAGTTTATTTCATGTATAATCTTCTACCATACTTAGAAGATTGTCAAGGCCCGGGTCCTCTTAGCTCTCTAAAATGCTTTTATCTTCCTAATAGGGGTAAATTAGCAAACTAAAGAAATAATTAGCATATAATGAGAAAAGTAATTATCACTATAATTGCTGAAAATACAGGGACCAAACATATATAAGATGTAGGTAGAGCAGAAACTATAATGGAAACAAGATGACTGTAAACATGCAAAGAAAAGAGTGGATATTGTCTTAAAACTGAGCATTTTGGATCATTATACTACAATTTATTCAGTGCTAAAAATGTTAAAAATAAACATACTCCCAGCAGACTTCTACGTAGCAAATGTGACAGAATGATGAAATTAACTCAAATATAATAAGCTTTTATTTTCTAAATAAAATCATATTCTTGTAAACCATATGGGAAAAAAGTCATGCTCCGAAGGAGCTGTTACATGTATAAAAATCATACAGGTGTACTTCTTGTGTATTCATTTTCTAGGAAAAATGTGCCCAGGCCAAATGTATACCCTCAGAAATTAAAATAATACTTTTTCTATATCACCAAATCATTAAGACCCATTATCCAAGTCACTTAAAAATAATGCTTCCAAAACTTTAAAATTACTTACAATATCATAAATTTCTCGGTCACCCGCATCAGCTAGGGTCAACAGTGCTACCAGTGGGTAGCGAGATCTGGGCACTGTACCAAAGTCTTCAATGTTAGTATCTTTTGGTAACTGGCAATATATTTCTTCTTTGCTGTCCTTTTTAATACTTTTTGAAAATGTAAGGGTAAATTGTCATTATAACCACAAATACAATATATACCAAAGGTGATCAATAGTAACTTAGCAACACTTTATTTTATCCATAAAAAGTCTAATGTCTAAAATTGTCATGTCCTAATAGGTATACGGTAAAGGATACAAATACTGTTCTCGACAGAGATACTCGCTGTACAGAGCGTCTTCCAGTGCTTGGGGAGTGCTTATTCGGAAGCAGTAAACGTGCTTCTGCAGAGCCTCGTATAATTTTTGAACACTGCACCCCCAGTAGCATGTAAGGAGGCTATCTTCAAGGCAATCTGTTGTCAAAGTTATGCCAGCTGTAGAAAACAAACAAGACAAAGAGAAGAAAATTACCTGATGTAATTTCTAATGCAATTATACATAGTGAGTAACAAAAGCTTCATTTTGGATGCTAGCCAGGCTGCTGGCAGTTAAAGGAACTCGTTAAAGGGCATGTGCCCATAAATGAAGGAACTGGTCTCTAAAAGAGGACATATAAAAACCTCAATGTCTACACAACTTTGAAGCACTACCAGTAAACCTTATTATTTATGCATTTATGCTTGGAAATTATCCATTTAATTTTTTTGGTGACCTCAACACTTTTCCCAAAATAAGAGTTTAAAAACTGAAAAACTGAAATATAGTTCACTACCACTCTAACAGCATCTACAATCCTAACTACCGGAAACAGAGCTGTTTCCAAAAGTAGATACACTCAACCTTGTAACTACAAGTAGAGCAGAGCTGTCTCTGAAAGTGGATACACACCACCCACAGTCCTGCAAGATAATCACTGAATAGGAAAAATATTGAAAAGAAATTGAGCTTTACTAATATTAATATACACACTGACAACATTAATATACATTTTTGTCACAAAGTTAATGTCCCATGTAATGTGCAACATATCCTGAGGAAAGACTGGAGCTTCCAAAACACGGAGGGTTTAATAGTGATGTCCTCATTCATTTGTTCGCTTTCAGCATAATAAAAGATATTATAATTTGAGTAGAGCTGATTAAGAGGGCACATAAATTATAAGTGGCCAAATTATGTTATATACGATTTACTATGTGCCACCTAGCTGATTTTTTCCCTCACTTGTGGCAATTGCAGCAGTAAGTTCAAAGGCAGCAACATCCAGGGTATCACATTGCTGGCAGGACAAGCTGCAACATCCAGGGTTTACTTGCTAAACCAAAAGGAAACGTTTTTGGTCATTGTGAGGCAGGATAGGAAGAAGATAGGAAAACTCCTTGACAAGTGGAATGAAGGAAACTGAGACAAGATAGCTAAACAAGGCCGAGCAATTAACAGCCTGCTAATAAATCACAAGATCTTATCTTCCCTAACCAAAGACACTTGGGAGCAGATGGTTTATACCTCTCCTCCGGAAACAGAGAGGGAGTAGCTTAAATCACCCTGGTCAGGGAGAGAGACAACAGAGACTGCTATTAGTGCCAGCCTAACCCCAGAACAGATGAAGTCAGGGGAATAAGTAACCAAAAAAAACAACAAAAAACAATTAGAGCCAGACAAATCCAAGATAAAAGTAAAGCAGTGAAGCTGACCAGAGAATGATCTCAAACTCCCCTAAATGCTCATTTTGATGCATCAGCATATTAAAGGACACACCTGGAAAGCTGTTGAATATTCTACTGAGACTCTCCCCTTAGATCTCCCCTAAAATTCCCGCCTTTAGAAAACAGATAACCCTTAAGACAAAGGACCCAGTACACTTGCTTGAGAACTCCCGTATCCCCCTTTCCTCAGACATGTACTTTTATTTTCTTTCTCCTAAGTTCTAAAGGTTTCTGGGAGACTTACAACCAGGGGAGCAGTGGGCAGCGGCAACTCATCCCAGGCTAATCCCTTCAACCTGTCTCCAAGGGCCCTCCTTTTTCCCCTGTGACTTACTTTCCTGAGTCCATGAAGCCCAGCATGGCTCACTTCTGTTACTGTGACTTCCTTTCCTGCATCCACACAGCCTAGTGTGGCTCAACTCTGTTATGTGACTTCCCTTCCTGAGTCTAGGCAGCCCAGGCTAGGCCCATTCCTGTTGTTGTGATCTTGGCCCTTCTATCTTAAGCCTATCCTTTGTTTCGCTGCTCCCAGCTTTAACAAATGTACTCTCAAAATCACCTGGACTCACGTTGTGAAATCTTTCCTACATGAAGTCAAAAACCCACACATTCCACACCATGCCAAGGCAGGCCCACCTGGTTCCGGTCCCTTTCCAGTGACAATTATTCCTGGCTAAACAATTATTCCATGGTCTCTGATTCTGTCTCTCCAAACCTACTGGCAAGTCCGTAAACCATTCAATACCCCCCCCCATTTTATTTATTTATTATTGACAGTATTACAGGTGTCTCCATTTCCCCCCCACTTCAATATCCTTTTATTGGAGTAGTTTCTGTTGCTTGCTAATAAGAAATCTGATTAATACATTACTTATTTTTAAATGTGATCAAGAGAATGTGTTGGAAGGAGATACATAAACACAACCAGATCATCCACAGGATACCAAATACTGTAGAATGTACAAAGTTTCAGATTCTGAGTATATATAGTAGCAGTAAAATAGAGCAATTTCTAACCACTATTAAGCAAAAATGTTAACTGATAGGAACTTTGCACACATAATTGATACAGGATTTGATTTCACATTTTTATGATTCTAATCATCAGGTATTAATTCAAGAATGTAGAATTTAATTAGCTATATTTTCCAATTAGCTGCAAAATAGCTGAAGAAAAACACTTCATTAATACAAATTTTAAATATATGTATTAAAAATCATGCATACTTTTCTCTATGCCCCTTGAGAACCACACAAAGCAAGGCAAGGAAAAAAAGTTGAAAGTAGATGGGAAAAGGAAAAAAAATGTAAAGCCTACAAAAAAAAGTGGAAAAAGAAAAAGAATCCAGAAAATGATTACTTAATATTACTGTATTACTGGCAAAATGTAAAAAAGATGTATGGATAAGGCTATTCACTGTAGAACTAGTTATATCAAAATGCTACATTCGACCTAAAAGTCGAGGATTAAATTAACAAAATATGGAATACTCTCCAATGAAGAAGTACTATGGAGCTCTTAAAAAAAAACTGAGGCAGCCTGGCCAGGCGTGGCTCAGCGGTTGAGCATCGACCTAGGATCCAGGAGATCGAGGTTCGATTCCTGGTCAGGGCACATGCCTGGGCTGCAGGCTCGATCCCCAATGACTCTCTCATCATTGATGTTTCTGTCTGTCTCTCCCTCTCTCTGAAATCAATAGAGATATATTTTAAAAATAAATAAAAATTAATTAATTTTTAAAAACTGAGGCATATCAAAATATCTGTGGATAGTACTACTGTGGCATGAGCTTCAGAATATACCATTAAATGAAAAAAGCAAGGTGTAGAAAAGTATACAGGGTGAGGCAAAAAGTAGGTTTACAGTTGTGAGTATGTGAAGCAAGAGTTTGTTCCTGTATTATTATTTATTAATTACTGTATTATTTTTTATATGAACTGAAAACTCATTTTTGCCTCACTCTGAATATAGCATACTACTGTTTATCTCACAGGAGAGGATATCCAAATATGTGTTTGTTTACACTAAAAAAAGAACAATGGAAGAATAATCCTTAAAAAAAAAAAACTTCAACTTACAGAACATACATAACTACCAGTCTATCTGCTTTGTAAAAATCAGAGTTCCAGCCCAGCCAGGCATGGCTCAGCGGCTGAGCATCGACCCAGGATCCAGGAGATCAAGGTTCAATTCCTGGTCAGGGCACAGGCCTGGGTTTCGGGCTCGATTCCCAGTCAGGGGCATGCAGGAGGCAGCCGATCAATGAGGACTCTCTCATCATTGATGTTCTATCTCTCTCTCTCCCTCTCCCTCCTTCTTTCAGAAATCAATAAAGATAGATTTTAAAAAAGAAGAATCAGGGTTTCAGAGATTCAGAGCTAAATAAAACTTATTTACAGACTTCATACACTTGACTAAAATGGGGGGGTGTCAGGGACTACTCATAACTGGACATTAATCAGATTTTAATACAATGTCCTGATATTAATATTATAAGTAAATGAAAAAGAACTACAAAATCTATAACTCTGCTCTCCACAATCTTTCATAAATTTGTCTGTACACAGACTAAGGAGAATCTACTGATTTATACTAACTGGTAATAGTTCAAATACCCCCAGGCAAAACTACTCTCCCTTCAGTTTTTATTGCTTCTTCTGCAAAGACCCTTATATTCTATTCCCATTCTTACATTTTCTTAGTCTTTTAAAATTCAGTGAGCACACAATGACATCTTAGATCAATAGCATTAACCGAATTGGAATAGAGACATAACCCAGGAGATTCAGAATCCAAATGAAGGGGAGCAGCATGGGTGGGACTCCTCCCAACCGGCCTGCCTGTGACGCCCAAATAAAGTGTAAGAGGCAGTGTAAGAGAGTCTTACAAAAAACTGAAAAAAATCAGGGTTTTTTGAGTTGAGTTGAGCCATTAAAAAAAAAGCGAGAAATGATGGGACAGAAAAGCCACAAACCTTCCTGCAGAAGAACTCTGTGAGAAGATTATACACGGGGCCCATGCACGAGGATGATGCAACCAGAACACTGGGAGACGAAAGCTTTGGCTGTAAGGAACAGAGGCCCACGGATTTCTCCAAAACGCGTGTGCCATTCTGCTTAACCCTTTTGCTTCCGTTCGCGCTTACCAGGGTGAGTCAGTCAAAATACAAGGAAGCTGTTTACGAAAGGGCAGCACAACTCCTGAACCAAACAAATACAACTCAACTAATACGTCCCAAGTAGCGACCTTCAGTTTCATTAAAACCTCTGCACTGAGGACATGGAAGCATCATAAATCCGAATACGGTATCATTACAGAACAACAAAAACCCGCAAAACCTACCCCTAGTAAACAGAACTAAATGACTAAGATTAAAACTGATTGTCTGGTTGATTTTCAAGTCAGTCGGTTCTCTAGATGTTCCCCATCCCTTCCCTATGTGCCAGGCATCTTGGGTACAGTGATTTAAAAAAACAACAACAAAAACCAAAAGAACCCCTGGATTTTTAAATTATCACACCAAATGAAATAACCTTTTAAAATGTCACAATTATTGCTCAGAATATTATTTCGATAGCCTGGTTAGAGATACTTAATGACATCCACTGTTCCACAGTTTAAATAAATGAATTTTACTCTGTCAAGTACAATTTCCACCAAAATTCTTCTCCTTATTTCCCCATAGAAGACAGATAATGAATGATATGCATTGGTATTTAAAAATTAAAATACTTCAATAAGCACGCTATAAACCCGCACATTTAAAATTTTTTCATGTACTTCAGTAATGCTAGCATCTAGTGTGTTGGGCATAGCTGAGGCATCTTCCACGTAGTAGATATCTTTTCATTTGCTTCTAACATTTACAGGGCTGGCTCTACTTAAGACTACTTGGGTCTTAAAAGCAGATTGATGGGTTTCCTGATACTTTCTAGCTCACAAGTGTCCAGTTTGTTTGCTCATGTATCAGTTCTTACTTTCTGTGTCTCCAGGCTTGTGGATCTGTGCTGCAGGAAGAAGGACTTTGTACTGGTGGAGTTTTTTACACGCAGTCTTGCTCAAGAGCCAGAAGTGATGCTACAGCAGGTTCAAGTGCGTGGCCACAAAGGTCAGAGGTCACCCTGCCACCACTATTCTGTACATTTCATTCAGGCAGGTTTCCTAAATAAGTTAGTCTTCTCTGTGGGATCCTGAAATTTGGTTTTCCCAAGTGAAAAGTGTCAGAATGAACTCCTTATCTACCACTAGGGGGATAAAAGGTCCTTAGTCCCCTCAACTCATAGGGGTTATTTTATATTTATATACACACACACACACACATGGTATGGTATATACAACTAAGGAAGAAAAATAAGAAATTTCTTACTTTGTCATTGTAAATCAAGATTTACTTAAGGTTGATAATCTCTAGTGATTAAGTACACGAATTTTTGACAAGTGATTCTGGAAGGTGGAGGTAGGAAGATGACGAGACAAGAAAGTTCACAGAAGACAAGGGAGCAGGATGTCAAAAGGGAAGGACTGGTCAGCTCTGTTAGACACTGCAGAGGGAGCACTAACTCAGGCCTGGGAAGCGTCCAGTAAATTTTATGACTGCCAGGGGTCAGAGGTGGGGGGCAGAAGTGCTAATTAGTGACCTTGGAGAAAGCCATTTTAATAGAGGGATACAGGTGAAAATCAGACTACACTGCCCCACGCAGTAAAAAGGAAGCAGGCTAAGAGAAGGCAAATGCAAAGTGCTCTGAAGATGCCTGGCTATGAGGGAAAAAAGAGAAACAGGACAGTAGCTAGAATAAGATGAAAAGTTGAGAAAGTTTGGGGTTGTTTTTAAGATACCAAAAACGTGAGCAAGTGTAAAAGGTGACAGAGTTTCAGCCCAGAAAACTGTGCAGAGCTACAGGACTGTATCTAGAACTGCCTACTCCATATCTCCACTTAACTGTCACAAAAGCATTTAGAAGTCCAGAAGTTCAAAAATGAATTCATTGCCTTTCTTCCGAAACCTGATTCCTCCCGCATTCCTCATCTCGGTCAAGGACCTGTCTATGGAGGACCCAAGCAGAGCACGTGAGTCTTCCTCGACTCTTCTGCCTTACCCGTGCCCTGCACTCCCTTCTCTTTCACTGGTTCCTAGATATGCTTGCAGACAATTTGTTTTCCAAGTACAGAAACAAAAAACTACCATCTACCAAAATAATTTTAGACCAAAATACCATAATTTCAGAATAAGAGACAACTGTTCTTCAGAATGTTAGAAACCTTACATTAACTGTGCTCACACCACACCATTCTTATGTTTCCCACTGCACTGAAGACCAATGAAAATGGCACACTGTCCTACAGACTTCTCTTATTAACACCTGTGATACTTTCTGTTTGCTAGTTGATAAGTTCCTTAGGAGCAAGGTTTGTGAATTATTAACCTTTGTATCTGCAGTACTTAGTACAGCTCCTGGAACCAAACAGGTGCTCAATAAATGTTAAGTCTAATGAAGAGAAAGTAAGAGAGAAAGAAAATTAAAAGGTTCAAAAGGGGGCAGAGAAAGAGAGAAGAATCTTTGGAAAATAGCTACCAACTTGAAATCGAAGCTGAAGATGGATTAGCGATCTCTAAGCCAAAAGGATTCTTGACTTGTCTCATTTGCTTTTTGAAAACTCTTGTTTTGAACTGGGTCTCTTCGGAATTTCTCAGAATTACTGGAACATCCCAACCAAACCTGAAGGTAAAAATAAAATAGTACATAATTTTAACAAATGTTGAAACTTTCTGTTACATGTAGACTATGTTATGCTTCATTAATCATTTTAATGTAAATATCAGAAAAAGAGATTAAGTTACTCAATTTACATTATATTAGAGAATTAATCTAGAAGTAAGAGAGATCAGAGGTCCCATAGAATTGCAATATATTGTCAAGCTGGCTGAACCAACATACTCTTGAAAACAGTTCTATTATTAATAACAATGGAGCACACTAATTATAAATTGTACCTAATGACAGAATTACTAAATTTTTAAATGATATGATAAACAAATACTATTTAATATGCAGACTATTTGATATTATTTATGGGACAATAGAACTAAAACACCAAATATAGCCCTGCATTTATACAGCATATTTTCTCCTTTTAAATTTCATGTAAAAATATGATAATGCATACTGAACCGACTTAGAAGAAAAATGAAAAGGCCTAAATTCAATTCTTTATAAAACTAGAAAGCAGCTAAGTTTACTCAATTTAAATAAAATAACTGAAAATGAATACACATTAGTTTAACCAGGGGACTTTAGGTTAAGCTGGCAGTTAGGTTCATACTTGGATGCACTCTATTCTCTCCAAACACGGAGAAATCAAAGAAGACCGTGCTGAAATGAGTGAAAAAAAACAGTGGTGTGTTTAAAGAAAGGAACAGAAGAGCTCAGCAATGAAAAGGAATAAATTATTGCTACGACCAGAGGGATAAATCTCAAATGCTGTGCAAAAGAAGCCTGACACAAAAGAGTGCATGCTCTGATTCGATAAAGTGAAATTCTAGAGCAGGCAAAAGTAACTGAGTAGAAACAAAAAGCAAAACAACAGTTACTTCTGGGGTGTGGGTATATGGGCTAACTGGGAAAGGGAATGAGGAAACTTTCTCTGGTGATGGCAGTATTCTGCACCTTGATAGAGGCTTGAGTTGGATAGGTGATGTGTTTGATTACACTTAAGACATGTACATTTCATTGCATATAAATATTACTTCAAAAGAAAAAATATATAAACAAAAACCATTATTGAACTCGAGCTATGCAGTGCTTTGGGGTGAAGAATATAAGTTACTTTGAAGTGATCAACAAATAAGATGGACTGATGGATGGACAGAAGGATGGACGGATCAGGACAGATACGTAATAAAGACATTATAGCAAAATGTTGGTTTAGAGCCTAAGTGATGGGCATGTGAATGTTTACCATATTCTTTATTGTATGTATATTTCAAATTTTTAATAATAAAATGTTGGAAAGAAGAGAAATAGCTGGGTTCAGAGACATCTTTATAAACCTGAAAAGGGAAAAAAATATAAAGTGCTGAGTAAGGCTTATGCCATGGTTTGATGGGTGCTGAGTCTGGCAGTAGGCAGTGGAAACTAAGCCTTCACATAGTAAGAGGGCCTTACAGGCTGTCCACTCAAGACAAGGGTCAGAGCCAGTTCACAACTTGAATCCAGGAGCTGGGTTAGGTCAACATCAATATGAGACCGAACTGTCACTGTAAGACTTGGTCCTTTACTAGGGAGAGGGGGTGGTCTATAAATCTGGGGGGAGGCAACTAGAAATGGTTAAAAAGCAAGGATGAGGGCAATGGGAAGGGGGAAAAGCTTCCACCAAAAGCTAGATTGCAAACTACAATTTCAAAGCACATGGATAGACCTATTGCCAAGAGAAAGCCAATAAAATTAACAAATAGAATAAAATTTCACTCTAGATTAATTTAATTTTATAGAACAGTTAGATGAGACTATTCTGTTTCTGCCTAAAAAAAGGTAAAAAGTGCCCTGGCTGGTGTGGCTCAGTTGGTTGACAGTCGTCCCAAGCACCAAGAGGTTGCTGGTTCCATTCCGGACCGATGTGGCTCAGTTAGTTGAGTGTCATCTAGTGTATTGAAAGGTGGCCAGTTCAATTCCAGTCAGAGCATGTGCCGGGGCTGTGTGCTCAATCGCCCACAGAGGGCGTGCAGGATTGATGTTACGCTCTCACACCGATGCTGCTTCTCTCTCTCTCCCTTACTCTCTAAAGAATCAATAAAAAATCTTTTTTTAAAATTCCAGAATCAGATAAGGTAAAATTCACAATGTTTAGTGTTCAATAAAAAATTACCAGAGAAGCAGGAAAATATGACCCACAATGAGAAGAGAAACTAATCAATAGAAATATACCCCAGAGCCTGGCCAGGCGTGGCTCAGCGGTTGAGCATCAACCTAGAATCCAGGAGATTGCAGTTCGATTCCCGGTCAGGGCACATGCCCAGGTTTCGGGCTCGGTCCCCAGTAGGGGGCGTGCAGGAGGCAGCCGATCAATGACTCACTCATCATTGATGCTTCTCTCTCTCTCTCCTTTTCCCTTCCTCTCTCTGAAATCAATAGATATATTAAAAAAAAGAAAAGAAATAGACCCAAGAAATGATACAATACAGATATTAGAATTAGTAGACAAGGATATCAAAACAATTGTTATAACTAAACTTTTTAAAGAAGATAAGTAAAGATTGAGTATATTATACAGAGATATGGAAGATATAGAAAAGACCCAATCCCATTGCTGAAGATGAAAAATACAATGTTTGAGGTGAAAAATACACTGAATGCGATTAACAGCAAATTAGATATTACAGAGCAAAATATTAGTAAATTTAAAGACCTAGCAACAGAAAGTATCTAATGTGAAACACAGAAGGGAAAAAGGCTGAACAACAAAACAAAACATGAGTGAGCTGAGGGACGGACACCTTCAAGTTGTCTAATATGCATGTAACAGAAATCTGCAGAGAGGGGCAGAGACAGTACAAGAAAACTACAGGCTGATACCACTCCGGAACACAGATGCAAAAATGCTTAGCAAATCAAATCCAACAATATATGAAAAGATTAATATATCATGACCTAGTGAGGTTGATCTCAGGAATGCAAGGTTGGCTTAGCATAACATTAAAATTTTACACGTAATTCACCATATTAACAGAGTAAAAAACAAACAAACATATGATTATCTCAATACGTGCAGAAAAAGCACTAGGTAAAATCCAATGTCTATTCCTGATAAAAACCATCAGCAAACTAGGGATGTAAAGGAACTTAACCTGATAAAGGGCAGCAATAAAAAATGTACAGTTAACATCATATTTGAAAAACTGCTTTCTTCTTAAAATCAGGAATAAGACACACAATAGCCATGTGTCCTTAAGTAATCACTCAACCTCTGTGTAACTGTTACCCCACCTGTAAAAGTTTATAGCAGGGCCTGGAACCACGTAAGTGCTAACAATGATAATGTTGATGATGTAAGCTGTCTTTTGAGCAGCTGACGCACTGATGGCTCAGGTTGAACTTTCAGCCTCATAAAATCCTAAACCTTTTCACATACCTCACCCAGTGTGAACATGCTCATTCTTATACAAAAATTCACAACTTTCACAGTTTTGACTTGTTGGATGTGGACCAGTATTTCTATCTTTAATGTGTTACTCAAAAGCCAACGTGCAGAAATGCTTTGGAATGAGGTTAAAAATTGGAGACTGGTTAAATAGCAATTCATGATAAATGCTGACAAATACTTCTGTAAAATATTGATAAGTAGACCCACCATCTTTACATCTGGCCTTTTCCACATTTTTAATCAAAAACTTGAATAAAGACATTGGTGTCCTGTGTATCAGATCATGGCTGATACATTAGAAATAAAATAGTCAAATAGAGAGTTGACCAATTTTCTTTTAAATCAATTCCATCTTTATCTTTTTTTCCAAAGTCATTTTGCCAACTGTTGATAAACAGAATACCAACTAATTAAATGTTTCTTAACATTCATTATTTTGTCTTTTATATAAACTTAGCCCTCCTTTTTTTCTATAAAAAGAATTTCCCATTCTCTTTCCTGTTATAATGGTACACTTAATCCTCCTGGATGTTTCTATAATTCTGGTTTTTCCCATTTCCAAACTGTTTGTTGCATTTGTTCATAATGCTTCAACTTCCAGAACAGCAATAACCTGTGGACTTCCAATGCTTTCCACATTTTGTCATATGGCCTATACAATATCTAACCCTGAACACACTTCCTAAGCTTCTTGCAGAAGCCAAAGCAAAACTGATCTCCTTTCCTTGCGTTTGAAGTCTCATGGAGTCCCTCATGAATGACGGTTACTTTGAAGGTAAGGTTTCAAGCTCAGTAATAAACAATTTTTATCACCCCTTCAGCCTTCAGAAAACACAGAGGCAGTCTGCAGGGTCTCCTCTCCTGTACAATCTCCCAAAAATGGCCTCACTTGGCTAGATATGGATCAGCATATAAAAACCAGTCATGGGGATATCCTTGGTAGGGGAGGAGGGCTGTCTCTGAGGGAACTGCTGTGCTAATGATATGACTTTCAAAAAGTGACTCAATCTCTAAAATTCTGAACCCTTAATTATTTAAAAAAAAAAAAAGAAGAAGAAAAAGAGTAGCCCTGGTCGGGTAGCTCAGTTGGTTAGAGCACTGTCCCAATACCAAGGTGGCAGGTTTGATCCCTGGTGAGGGCACAAGAATCAACCAACAACTGCATAAATGAGTGGAACAACACATCGATGTTTCTCTCTTTCTCATTCTCTATCTCAAATCAATATACATTTTTTAAAAAATTTAAACAAAGAATAAAAAGAAGGGTTAGAATGAGTGCTCTTTTAAGGCCCTACTAAGGTTTGAAATGCCACTTCTAGAGTTTCGTGTTTTCTTCTGAAATGTTCCCAGAAAATTCTTGCCAGGTGTCATATATTTTGCATCCTAAGCAAATACAAACTAAAGTCATATCCTGTTCCTAAGCAGGAATCTGTACCTCATCACCAGCCTCGTCACACACAAACAACCAAATGCCTTCAACAAGTGAGACGAGAAGTAGTCAAGGCTGGTGTATCAGGCAGGGTTGGCAGAAGATAGACACATCAGTTATTTGAACATAAAGAATTGTTAACCAAGTACTGGAGGACTGAAAAGGCAAGAAGGGGACACTTAGGTATCCTGGCAAGAAGCAGTTATCACTCCTAGGGCTGGGGAAACAAAGGAAAGAGTGGGGATTACAAGTTAGAAACTTAGAGAAGGGATCCCCCAGGAGCTAGGACCCAGACTTTTTGGTAGGAGTTCTGGCCAGCTGGTGTTGATATCTCTGAAAGAGTGCCATAAGGCTCATTCTAGGTATGAGAAAAAATTATAAACTAAAATAAAGTGCTGCAATTGGGCCAAGTGTCACTGCCAGGGTGAAGGCCAATGTTACAGAAATGTAGCCAGGGCAAGGAAGCAAACTTAAGAAAGAGACTGTAAGGCTGGAAAAGAACTTGGGGAACTGAAGAAGACAGTGAACTAGCAGGAGAGGAATGGTTTGCAAAGTCCCTGCCCCAGTATCTATCATAAAGTAGGGTACAGAAAAGCATGTGTGCACCTGAGAGACAGCAGCCTTTGAGAAAGGATGATTTATAGTATATCTTTGTGGCAGTATTGCAGGAGATAGGGTCCTTCCTCAAGGGGACTCACCTCCCCTTCAGTCAGAAGCTCCCAGTCTACGGACTGGCTTAGACCTGGAAACTGCGTGAAAGGTCAGACTCTCCACTGTTGTGACCCAAGTCAGATTTCTGGCTCCAGACCTGGAGTTTTTCCTTCTATGCAGTTCATGTAGCATTTAGTAAGCCACCGTCTATTTTATTCCCAGGGATACTGTAATCCATTAGGCACTGCCAAAGATCCCTGCAAGCCAAAACACGTTCTGCTTTGTCTACCACTATCCATGGTGGGACACGTGTCCACCTTGACTCCTGTGGTTATGTGCTGCCACCGGACTTTAAGTCAGGAAGTCCACCCTAAGGGCAGCATCTCTCACCATCATAAATAGCCTAGAGGAGGCAGGTGCCAGAGATTTTCAAGGATAGTCTCCTCTCAGTAATGTATGTCTCAGTGCTTCTGCCCGAGGCGAGGTTATTAAAAATCTTCAAGGAAGGGAAGGGTAGTTTTCTCAGACATGGAGAGCAGGCTGCTTCCACGAACAAGGAAGGCTCAGAGTGACTTGGGGTTTCAAGATTCTCAGCTTTGTCCATGTCTATTTAGATGTTCCCATTCCAAGTGTCAGGGTTCCACTTCTTTCCAATCAGTGTCCTAAGTGAGACATCTACAAGGCCGTGTGGTTCTATTACCAGCAAAATTAAAGCTGTGTTCAATTTTTAGCTCTGTGGCTACATGAAATAAAGTGCTTTAGAACCACAGAAACTCTCAGATTCTCTAAGACTTGATCTGAGAGTTCAAATACCTGAGTTTGTCTTTTTTTTTTCTGTAAGTGCTCCAGTGATCTCAGAAGCAACCATTCCACCCATCCCTCAGTCCTTATAGTCATCATTACTGCCATAATAGGCAAGTGTGTTAGCCACTTGGTCCCCCAAGGCACTTGCTTCAGAAATCATTTTATCACAATCGCCCAAAGATAGTGATTTTATTAACTGGGATGCCAATGTATGTCCTGTATTACTAGAATCGTATTTCCCATTGTCAAGGAGCTGAAGAAATGACCAGACCAGTCCCCAAACCCCATCTTTGAGGGTTTCCCCCCAGGATCCCATTCTTAGTAATAACTTGCCAATATCTTTATCAGTCCAGTCAGAAGACCAAAATCACACCAGTTATTTTAACAGAGATAATTTAATGTAAAATGTTAACCAGATGTTAAAGAACTGAAAAGGCAAAAGGAGGACACTGAGTATCAAAGAAGTTGTAACAGTAGGAAGCAACTATGTCTCCTTGGACAAGGAACAGAGGAAAACGAATTACAAGAGCCTAGACATTTGGAGGAAGGACGCCCATAGAGCTGGGACTCAGATCTGAGGAAAGAGTATTGATATCTTTGAAGGGGTGCAATGAGGCTGGTTCTAAGAAAGTGGAAACCTATAAACTGGAAAAACTGGAACCAACTGTTAGTACTAGAGTATGGCACTACTGCTGTGCTGACACAGACAAGAAAAAGAGTCAAACAGGAGGCAGCAAGTCCTCTTGTCCTCCAGCCGACCACTCTCCCTCCCCTATTGGCAAAGCCTCGTGGGAAGCCAGCTAGCAAAGAAGAAATGGGGTTCAGAGGTTCTGCCTCCAATTCACAAAGCAAAGGATAATAATAACAGTGGTATAAAGCTGAGAGACAAACGCTTAATAACCTGTGGTCAAGGAAAAGCAGGGAGTAGCTGCAGAGTCAGGGTCCCTGATTATTGGAACCTGTTAAAAAATGTATATGGCTTTTTGGTCTTCTTTCTGCACAGTGCATGGCAAATAGCAGGAGTTTAATAAATGTGAGCTACTAGGGTTCCCAGAAACCACCATGTAGTTAAATAGAAATACCCATACTTCTAGTTGCATGATCTTTACTACTGCTATTGGGATTCCAATCATCCGAAGTTCCTGTTCTTTCTCCACTCCCACACATTGCAGCTGGACAAAGAGAACAGTGGAAAGAAGCAATGGGAAAGAAACTCAGAGCTGTACTGAGGTAAGAACCATGAGAGAGAAGACAGATGACCACTAGGGATTATATTATGGGAGGTTAAAAAAAAAAACGACAAGGGTGAAGAGCATAGTGGATTAATGGGTTACTATAAGAAAGCTGTTTTTGCCAGGTCAGTGTGGCTCAGCAGTTGAGCATTGACGAAGGATCCAGGAGACTGTGGTTTGATACCCCGTCAGGGCACATGCCCGGGTTGTGGGCTCGATCCCCATTGGGGAGCCTGCAGGAGGCAGCCGATCAATGACTCTCTCATCATTGATGTTTCTCCCTTTCCCTTTCCCTTCCTCTCTCTGAAATCAATAAAAATATAGTTTAAAAAAGAAAAGTTTTCATGAGACCTAGATGGTTTTCACTGTTTCTACTCAATGAATCTGTGACCTTGGCTTAGGTTAGCAAATAAATGCTAGTAAAAAATTTATCTACATGGACAAAGCTAACCCAGATGGAGAGAATAGTTGGGTTAGGCTCAAGATGACTGGTTACATACACATCAGGATGAAAATGACTAGCACTGACATGGTCTTTTGGACTCAGCAGTGCTGCGCCTACAATTCCAAGAGTTCTACAATTACCTAGGTTTCCACCCTTAGAAAAGCCGTATCTAAATGGAGTATAATTAAATTTTCAAACCAAGTCTTAAACCTGGCTGAGCCAGGATTTGAACTAGGTCTGTCTGATACCAAAGTCTGTCTCTTAATGACTACAAACATGAGGTTCCTAACTACCCTTCACACACAGATGCTGCCATCATTATCAATAGGACCTTCACTCATTTTCCTCTTGCCAATACCACTAAAGACAGATATCAGAAATATCGCATTAGTTGGCCCACTGAAATTAAAATTTAAGGCTATAATGCAATTATCAACTGGTCACCTATTTCCCTTAGGGGAAAGAAAAATTACACTTCTTTAAGAGGGTAACACTAACATTATAGTTATTTTTAAATCCTGGGTCAAGACTGCTTTTCTCAACTGGGCAACCGCTTCCTAATTCCAATTCCAAACTTTCTCGAAGAACAGCACCAATAAAATCTGATGCGCCGAGAATAACAAATAGTGTAAAATGGGTCTTAATCTTCCCCCGCCCCCCCACACACAAGGAATGCCACGCTCTGCTCCTTACAATGCGGGGAGCAGTGTGAAAGTGTCCGAACTTGGCCTGGTTCCTAAGGAGAGCATATACTGTCAGAAAACGGCAAGGGCTAGCGTCCGTTCTTGAAAGGAATCCCAGACACAGCGATCAGAGGGCCCTGAACGCTCAGTGCACAGCCCGCCCTGCTCCTCAGCGCCCCCTCTCGCCCCGCTCACGCTGCGGTCCCTGAAATGCCTTCTGTTCTCCACCACGCACATTCCACTCCACTCATTTTTCAAAACACTCATTCTTCAAAGTCTAGCTCACGTCTCTCTCACCAGCGGACGGACTAGTGAAAGGGTGTCAACCAGCTGCGTCTATCAGGCTCTGTAAACACGACCCGGCGGAGGTCCGCTCGGAGCCAGGCCGAGGCCAGGCGCTCCGCGCACAAGCTCAACCCTCAGCCTCGTCCGCGGTCCGCTCCGCGCTGTGCCGCAGGCGGCTGGACACTCTGGGCGCACAGTAGGCCCCAACCTGGGGCAGAAGCCTGCTGGACACGCCCTCTGCCCGAGCCCAGGCCCTTACTGGACGCCGTGTTACCCAGAAACAAAGCTGGGTGAAACCCCTCAATC